CTATCTATCTATCTATCTATCTATCTATCTATCTATCTATCTATCTAACATTTATTCATTCGGCCTTTAAGCTGGACGCGTGCCGGCCCTCCTGACCGGTGGCGGTCGGCCTCAGACGCGGGCTCCTCCTGCTGTCAGACAGTCCATCATTAGCTGTCTGCTGCACACCTGGAGGCAGAGCCAGCCAGGTAATTATGGAGGGCCTATCCGCGTCTGCACGCAACCAGCATTAACCCATCGGCCTCATTCAGAGAGGAGAAAAGCTTTTGTTGCTGTAAGGAGAGAAAGTGACAATCAACCCCTGACACGTCAGATAAGACTGAACTGATGTCTCCGGGCCTTGAGCTAATAAAGCCAGGAATTTGCTGTTGCTTTTTCACCAGGCTGCAGAGCTGGAACCAGGCCAAGGCCACGGGACGAGGGGAGCTGAGCCGCCACACGTTTATGGAAGGAGAACTTAGCTTAGCACCTAAACACACACACAGAAATGTTTTAGCTTCTTAGAAGAAAAAACAGGGTGCCATTTTTCTGCAGGAATGTGGCTTGAGAATTTATAAACTCCAAGAAAATACAATTACACAGAGCTCTATTTTGACATGTGTTTTTTGCATCCAAACTATTTTCAGAGTTTTTGTAATATGGCAATTTGCATTAAGGACTTATATATATGTGTGCGTAGTTTGGAGTGTTTTGATGTAAAGATGTGGACTGATGAGGTATGTGGTGGTGTAAATGTAAATCTGTGCTTTCCTGTTGGAACATGGCAGCAGCAGCCACAACGTGGGCGGCCGTTTCAGGTAAAAGCCGAATGCATGACGCTTCTTTCTTCCTCTGTTTCCCAGTCCAGCATTTACAGGTCACACATAAGAAAGCTACTGAAAGCTAGTGCCACATCTCAGAGGCTGAGGACAACAAGAAAGTGGACGACATTATTCAGATTATTTTTATCTGTCTGAAAACAGGACAAAGGCAAACCAATAAATGCTAAAAGTGAGAGTTTTTTTGCTGTTGTCAGAGTTTGGGCCTCCTTTAGGGCTCTCATGGCTCCACAGATATGAGCTGGTCATAAACAGCCAGCTGTGGTTTAGCTCTGACCTCTGAAATGAGAGAGGGCTCACCTGGAGAAGTCTCATCTGGACAGCAGCAGCCGCTTTTTTTTTATGGAAGTAATGATCCCCTCACAGATGTGCAAGATACCAGCAATGTGTGCACTAATCCAGCATTATATGAATGCAGATGCAGGTCTTTGAACGTGGCTTACACAATGAAGGCAGATGGCTGCTCCTCTTTAGTCCAAAAGGGATCGTTTTCTAAAAGAATCTCCTATTTTAATACATCAGATTATTGCACATTTTTACACTTTACTCCAGTCCCTCCTGGATAAGAATGCATTTGTAAATGTAATTCTGCGTTTTGATAGATTTTAAAACCAATCCCTTTGTAGGTTTGTATTTTTATCTCTGCACTTTTGGGGTGTATTGATTTTTTTTCAGTTTTTCTTTTAATGGAAAACAAAGACTATTCAAGGTCATTGGCAACTGCATTGCAACTTTTTTTTCTTTTTTCTTTTTAGAGACGGTGTTTACCACTGTGACCAAGGGGCCACATGTTGTGTTTAATAATGATCACAATAAGAAAGCTTTTACAGCTCCCTTCTCTACAGCAGAGTGTTTCCTCACATCTAAATGGGCTCAGTACGAGCAAGAACACCCCCACTATGGAGATGACTATAAACAAGGTTTCAAAAACAAATTTGTGACCTTAAAGTAAATGTTGTCTCAAATCTTTTCAAATTTGAGACAACATAGAAGGCCAACTGATAGAGCATAAACAAATTGCTAATAGGCAATTGTAAATCCCACGATTCTGCTTGAGCTTTTAAATGAGCTCTTTGAGAAAATATCAATTCAGGGAAGGAAAATGAAGCAGAGGCAAGCCTGCAGAGAGAAAAAATCTGCAGCTCTCTGTCTGCAGGGACACTTTGAGGCATTTAGAGCCATAGTCTGCAAAGTCTGTCTACAGAAAGTGATTAAGCCTGTTTGCAAAGTTGCTTAATCTCTTTTATTGCCTACATGGGTTTGTGAGTGAGACAATGTCAGAGTTAAGAACAGGCCTCTGGAGGTAGGAGGAGCATATCAGACGCTCACATTTATGATGCTTTCAGATATTAAGTCTTCATATAACTTTGTACAAACTGCTTAAAGGTGAAAGTTCTCTGTGAATGTGGGAAGAATCTGTGTATGATTGGGAAAGGCTTAGCCTTTTGTGGCTTGATAAGGAGGTATTCAGTAAATTTGCTTTAGTGAAAGTGCCATCTGCACCCTGAGATCAAGTCAAAACAGGTTGTTCCAGAGTTCAGCGGCAGAAATATGGCCCCCTGTTCAGCACGACTAGCGTGAGCATACTATCAGCTGAAGCTTATCTCTGTCCGCTGCCAGACAGTCATAATGAATTTATCAATTAGCCCTGGCTGGTGTGTGCCCTTGGGGCCGCCCCAGCCCTAAACTGAACCACCATCAGTCATCCTGTCAGGGGAGCTGAGAGCAGCATGGAAAGGGTTTTTCTTTAGGATCTATCCTGAGAAAGCCTCAAAAATCAGAAGAAACCTTCCCTCTTATGCTCATTTTCATGCTGCATTGAGTGGCATCTTACCCAAATAATGTTCCACAAGGCTGCAGGTCCACAAGTAACATTTCAACTTTGCTAAACTAAAGGCAAAAAATTCAAGGATTTGTGCAAACATTACTGTTGTGTTTCATTTCAGGGCCGTTTCAAAGCAGGTCGGATGCCCTTGTGGTGCCTCTGATGATGTGCCTCCCCCCAGGGGAAATCTGCAGTACTGCTCACAGCTTACAGGAGACCACTTAGATTTAATGTTACACAAAATAAACTTTATTCACATTTCCAACAGGCTTTATACAAAACACATTAAAGGCTTTATGTGGACAATATTTTCATTTCAAAAGTCATAAAAACACATCAAACTTTTAAAGGTAAATACACAGATTAACACAGTGAGCACATATAAATCTTTGAGATATCTTTTATGCAAACTCAAGTCTGACTCTTATTTTCACGGATATATTCCTGTTTTCAACAGGTATGCGTGCAGCGTTTCTTCCTCAGTGCAGTTCATCTTCAAACCGAGCTGAGAGGAAACGGTTAGGCGCGTCAGTGCACACAGCTCGTGCTCGCTCTGGGAGGGGGGCCGCTGCGGTTTAACCACTTGAAACTGACAGGCAGCTGGTGGTGCTGCTCAGTCGGTATTTTCGGGGAGCTTTGCGGGGCTTGCTCGGAGTGGAAGGGGGCGAGGCCACGCTGAGGCTCCTGACCTTGCTGAAACTGTTCCTCAGGCTGTCCCTCCGGCTCTCCGAGGTGCTGCTGGTCTCCTTGGAGGTGAGGGAGTGCGGGCGGCACAGGCAGCAGCACAGCAGCCGGGCCATGGCCTGCCTCATGTCGCTGCTGCCCAGCGCGTAGATGACCGGGTTCAGCCCGGAGTTGAGCACGGCCAGGGAGATGCAGAAGTCTGCGCTGAACAGCAGCGTGCACTGCCGCGACACGCAGAAGAAGTCCACCAGCAGCAGCAGGAAGAGCGGCCCCCAGCACAGCAGGAACACCCCCACTATGCTGATGACGGTCCTCAGCAGGTCCAGGGAGCGCCGGCGGCTGCGCTGGGAGCCCAGCTGAGCACTCCTGTGCACGTGGCAGTAGATGGCCCCGTAGAGCACCCCGATGGCCAGCAGGATGAGGAAGAAGATGATGAGGGAGAAGAAGATGTAGGTTTTGGAGTAGAGGGGGAGGAGGGTGGAGCATCCGTCCAGGCTGCACACGCAGTTCCAGCCCAGCAGAGGCAGGAATCCGATGACCAGGGCCAGAATCCAGCAGAGGGCCACCAGGCCGTAGATCCGGTAGTAGGTCTTCCTGGTGGACTTCTGGGCCAGAGGCTTGCTCATGGTGGTGTAGCGCTCCACCGCTATGAGCAGCAGGCTGAAGATGGAGGCGGCCAGGGCCACGAACAGCATGCCCTCCCGGAAGAGCCAGAGCGCGGGGGTGAGCTGGAAGGTCCGGCTGCCCGACATGCAGATGTTGACCACGTAGGCGGCCCCGGTCAGCAGGTCGCTGAGGGTGATGTTGGCGATGCAGACGTAGACCCAGCGGCGGCTGCGGCGGATCCGGGAGACCACGGCCACCAGAACCAGGAGGTTCTCCAGGACGATGAGCACGCTGAGGAAGAGGAAGACGGCGGTGGACACGCTGAGGGCGCTCTGGGGGCTGGAGACCGTCCGGTTCTGGAGGCGGCCGGTGTGGTTGTAATGCAGCAGGATCACACGGCTGACCTCCGGGGGGGGGCCGTCAGCCCCGGTGCTGGAGTTGGGGGGGCTGGGTGAGTGGTACAGGTGGGGGCAGGAGGAGGCGGAGGTGAGGGAGGCCAGGACACTCATGATGAAGGTGGAGGCTGCACGGGAACGAGTGTGAAACTCCTGAGATCAGGCTGTGAGCACTCTGACCGGGGGGGCGCTAGCACCTGAGAGGGAAACAGGAGTGAGAGCAGTTAGCCTGTAGACCGGGGCAAAGCCAGAACAGAAAGCCTGCCTGGATGAACTCTGTCAGTTTAAAAGGCATCATTTAAATGCCTCCCTCATGTGAAACACACGTCACGAAGCTGTGGTTAGGACCGGATGAGTGAGCCGCGGGGGGGCATTTAAATCACCACATGGCAGAAATACACTTTTTTTAAAAATGCAGGACAATGCACACATGATATTTGTAAGACATTTGTAATTTGTAAAGACAGTAATGCATACAAAACACTTTTCAACAATTAACCGTTGCCAAATAACAATTTGTTTTCTCACAAAAAACTGCACTCACAACCATCACAATCAATTAAGCAGAAATCAGCCTTTAGGACTAAAAAAAATCTCAACGAGTTCCTGTTAGTTTTATTTTAATTCTCTTCCATACGAAACTCAAACCTGACACCTCATAACATTTTTCAATTCTTCCAGATATTCTACAGATTATCCATAAATAGTGTTCGTGTCCTTACTGCATTAAAGCAGCAGCGGTGTTGTGGTGTGTGCGGGGAGGGATGTGTGTGGATAGTGGATGGTACTCACCCTGGTTGCTGGTGGTGATGGTGAGTGTGTGGCAGCTGTCACTGACTGCAGATTTTTGCAGCACATTTTTTTGAGGGAAGTAAGCTAAAAGGGGCAAGGTACTAAAGCACCACACCCAGCAAACGTGCACACACTCAAACACACGAGCACACGCAACACTCAGATTACCATCACTTCTGTTCTGTCACCTTATAAAAAGCCCATCAAAGAATTTCACAATCACAGATGTTGAGTATTATTCAAAAACTTCTCAGGATATCTAAAAAAAAACGCTTTTCCTGTGCCCCCAGATCAACCTGGCTTCCCAGAACATTGCACAGATGCTGCTACTTGTGCACAGCGTGTAGCATTGCTCAAGCTGATTTATGATAACTCGTGTGAGAAAGTGTCTTTCAAAACGTGTGCCACTCTCCAACAGCGGTCAGAGTTTCGCGTAGTGGCATGACTCAATGTTTGTAAGGATGTGTGGAAAGACGCTCACTTGCACTCACAACTGATTTCAAAAGCTCTTTAAATTGTTTTTTTCTCACAGCAGTCATCACAGAGCACGAGAGAAAAACAGGAACTCCCAATCAAATGGAAAGGCGCCCCTCCCTGCAGATGGAGGGTTTGGTATAGCTCATCACAGCTGTGGTGGAGCTCAGGCCTCCGCTCTGAACACACCAGCCCTGTAAAAACACTGGTGAGGACTCTGAACACATTCAAAGACAAGCACCAGAAACTGATGAAGCAAGAATCCTCAACTATCAGCCAGATCAGAGCTGGTGGACGAACCAATGTGCCCTCCACTGGGCAGTTTTCAAAGGCAGGGCCGGTTTATTTTACAGCACATTTCCTGTACAAGACAATTCAGAGTGCTTCACAGGGAATTTAAAAGCAGAAAAACAAGAAAAATACTAAAAATTAGACAGATGAAAAGTGAAGGGAGCATATAAAATCCATCCAGTTTCCACATGCACAGTTAAACAGAAGCGTTTTCATCTGGATTTAAACATCCAGAGTAGGCTATCTTCAGGAAGTCTGATCCAGATTTTAGGAGCGTGAAAGCTTCACCTGGTTCTGTCAGAAAGGTGTTTCTGTGCCCATGAAGAGACTTGTACACAAGCAGAGCTGTTTTAGAGTCTGTTCTCTGAGTGACAGGAAGCCAGTGGAGAGACCTAGAGAGCCCTAAATCATAGCACTAAAGAGCTATGATTATATCATAGACACAAACAGGCTCAGTGTCACTGCACTGTAATCATCATTTGTCAAGGCTGGAATAAACCCTGAATAAAAACCAAGCCAGCGTCCACAGTCATGAGCAGATGTCCCCTTCCACGCTGAGTAAATGACTGAGTCAAACATTAAAACAAAGTGAGTTTTGTACATGCAGCATGCAAAGCCAGCTGTAAAACGAGCGCTAAGCTCTTGATACTGTCAAACATCTGACCTATATTTCAATTAGGCAATGAGGCATGTCGTTTTCTGGGTATCCCCCCACGAAACCCAAGTTGCTAATTTCTGATTCGACTTCTCCTTTTTAGTCTTCAGGTGTAAAAGCACAGCATGCATGTAAAATAGCCATATGTTTGGATAAGGGATAAAAAAAATAGCATTATAGAGAGGCTGTTCTAGCAAAGTTAAATGTGGAAAAAGAAAGAAAGAGATGCACAACAAGCAGCATCAACCAAAGGTGTAAAAAACACCCATGACTGTTGGAAACGCCCTTACCCTGAAAAAAAACTTCAAAACTGCTGAAACCACAATGTTAAAGCCTTAACCACATTGTGTGTGTGTTTAGTTGTGTAAAAGTGTGGTACAACCAAAAGCAGAACTTCACCTGTAGTACTAATTTTTTCATCTGTTTTAGCAGCTTCTTGTTCAAGATTCAACAAACTGAAGTCCAGAAAGGACTGAAAGGAAAATATTCAAAGTTAAAACATTGTATATTAAGTAATCATTAAATTCCAACAATGTCTCTTCTGTGATGTGTGACAATAAATAAACGAAAAATAAGTGAGATTGTTCCTTGACCCAGGTGCCTGTTGATATTGTTTTATGCCAACTTGTTTTTTGTCTTACTTTTCTTTTATTCTAAAGACAGACACAGATCTGTGAGTAAACTGGTGCCTCCGGTGAGATCTGCAGCATTGGGAAGTCACGTGTCAGAACGCTTTCATACAAGAGAAAAACAACCCTGAAATTTATGCTGATCATCCTTTTCTTTTCCCACAAATGAGGATAATGATGTCATAACGACAGGAAATCAGTCTTCTACGAGATCTGCAGGGAGTGTTTGAGTTGAAAAATCATCTACTCTTATAAAAATCAGCCCATGCCAGAAAGACACAGCTTCTGCTCTCTAAAATTTACAATAATTTAGATATGCGTCAACAACAAACTCCATAAATCTGACAGATGCAAGACTTTGTGTTGGGGTGTTATTTCTGAATTCAAAACCAGAGGGAAGTTTGCCTGCAACCTCATTGGACTTCCAGTTGAACTTGAAGGATACTCCAGTTTAAATTCTCTATCTTGGACATGAGTTCACTATGAGTTGAATCACAAAAGAGCAAACAGTCTGAGCTAATTAAAACCAAACCATCTTGATGTGGAACAGAAGCTGAAACAATGCCGGCTGCCGGCGCCCACTGACAAACAGGCCAGTTCTTTACGAGGTTATAAAGCCTGGATGGAGTAAACAACAAGTAAGAATGCAGAGCAGCTCTAGTCCGTCAGCAGAGCCTGCAGAGAGTTTATTAAATGCTACAATGAGAACTATTGATTAGCTCATTAAACATGAGCCAGAAAAGATTTCTCTCTTCATCAAACTGTTGTATTTCTGTTCAAAAGGGAGCCGAAGCTGTGTTGATAAAGTGATTCCATCAAGTCTATTTAATAAAAAAGTTACTCTAATTCATGACAGATTTTTTTTCACTATTATTATATCATGACACTGATTAGCTAAATTCATAAACCATCCATTTCCAACAGATGTGCAAACTCCCTGGCTCCTGGTCAGAGGGCAACATCTGGTGGCCACAAAGCGAGATTGCATTTTTTTATTGGCAAATAGAAAACATCTAGCTGACCACTAGTTTGCATTTTTATTGCTATGTCCCCAGAGATTGTGATCATGGTTATAGCAGCTTGTATATGGGCATATTTGTATATTTCTGAACCGTTATGCTTACAATCGTGGCACTTTTTGATACAACTCACTTTAAAATCTCAGTTCCTGAATATGAACAAACTGTTACATGTAGGTCTCCTTTCACCTTTCACAGCCTTCAAACAAATAAATGTAGCATGTTAGAAATATCTATCGATGAAACAAAAAAAAGCTCTCCCCTTTGATCTTTTTACTGGTGCACCAGAAGCTGAGATAAAACTGAGAGAACAGAGCTGGACGAGATCAAATTCAGACATGATTACCATTAAAAAAAACTGCTGAAACTGATATTACCATGTAGCAGAGATAGAAGTACTCATTGACTTTAGTTTAGTAAATTTACAATAAAAGAGAAAAACTTAGAAGAATTTTTGTGCTGTAAATTTGAAAGAAAAACATGTTCAATGCAAAAAAAGTAGTCCCAATATCATTTTCAGCTTTGGTTATGGAACCTTAGAAGTAATTTATGATGGTTGCCAAATGAATGTTAAGATGGATTAGTTGGATGAATGTGCCCGTTTCAGACCAGAAAATGGTCTAAATATATAACATCATCTATATGAGATTTTTTAAATGTAATTAATTTAATTTAAGCTTTAGCTTTAAATTAGTGTCATTATTAATCTCATTGGGAACATGCCAGGCTCTGTGATGTTTATATTTTAATGGTGGATTATTTATTTCTTGAATAGTTGAACCACTGCAATATTGTAATCATTATCATTATTCTTATACCAGGCCTTAGGTTGTATTCTGCTAATGTAAGTCTTTGGTTAAGAAACATCTTGTGACAAATCAATGTGAGAAATGACATTTGTCATCAAAATTTGGTCTGTTTATCATTTTTAAAAACATATAAGATACTACTAAGATGGAGTTATTCAATATTAACTAGAAAATGTGAACATATTTAAAAAGAACTTGATGCCCTGCTGTAAGTTTCACATCTCTCTACAGACTTCCCTGTAGAGGTCCTTCCAAATTTAGCTTTTTAGTGACAAAGAGAGAGAGAAAATTACATTTTTTTTTGCTCTTTAAAGTTGAACATCTATCTGTATCATAAAAGGAGGAAGTAATTCATCAGCTCTGTGCAGAAACACTGTACAGTCCCTGGACAGAAGCTTATCACAGACCTATTTCAGTATTGTGTGCTTTTGTGGATGATGTATTG